GATCCAAGTGTACATGTCAAGCTCTAAGAAAGATCGAATTGGAAATTATATGTGATGTTCATGGGTTCATGGGTTCATGGCATGACTCATGGGTTCATGCCATCAGCATACGAAACTGGAAAGAAAAGTATCGAAACATTTTTTGAGATACAAGCATCTACAATGTCATGAAAATGGACAAAACTGGCATTCTAACACTGGTTTTTGTGGTGAGATTATTTACACATATCCCAAATGTTTGCTCAGTGAAATGGGATGGAAGGGTTATAGATGATACATTGCCGGTCTTATAACTTATTAAATACATGTGATACATTAGCCACGTAATAACTGATTAAATACATGTGATACATTGCCGGTCTTATAACTTATTAAATACATGTGATACATTACCCATGTAATAACTGATTAAATACATGTGATACATTGCCGGTCTTATAACTTATTAAATACATGTGATACATTACCCACGTAATAACTGATTAAATACATGTGATACATTGTCCACGTAATAACTGATTAAATACATGTGATACATTGCTGGTCTTATAACTTATTAAATACATGTGATACATTACCCACGTAATAACTGATTAAATACATGTGATACATTACCCACGTAATAACTGATTAAATACATATAATACATTGCCGGTCCTATAACTTATTAAATACATGTGATACATTACCCGCGTAATAACTGATTAAATACATGTGATACATTACCCACGTAATAACTGATTAAATACATGTGATACATTACCCACGTAATAACTGATTAAATACATATAATACATTGCCGGTCCTATAACTTATTAAATACATGTGATACATTGCCGGTCTTATAACTTATTAAATATATGTGATACATTACCAACGTAATAACTGATTAAATACATGTGATACATTGCCGGTTTTATAACTTATTAAATACATGTGATACATTGCCCACGTAATAACTGATTAAATACATATAATACATTGCCGGTCTTATAACTTATTAAACACATGTGATACATTACCCACGTAATAACTGATTAAATACATGTGATACATTGCCGGTTTTATAACTTATTAAATACATGTGATACATTGCCCACGTAATAACTGATTAAATACATATAATACATTGCCGGTCTTATAACTTATTAAACACATGTGATACATTACCCACGTAATAACTGATTAAATACATGTGATACATTGCCGGTTTTATAACTTATTAAATACATGTGATACATTACCCACGTAATAACTGATTAAATACATGTGATACATTGCCGGTCTTATAACTTATTAAATACATGTGATACATTGCCGGTCTTATAACTTATTAAATACATGTGATACATTAGCCACGTAATAACTGATTAAATACATGTGATACATTGCCGGTCTTATAACTTATTAAATACATGTGATACATTACCCACGTAATAACTGATTAAATACATGTGATACATTGTCCACGTAATAACTGATTAAATACATGTGATACATTGCTGGTCTTATAACTTATTAAATACATGTGATACATTACCCACGTAATAACTGATTAAATACATGTGATACATTACCCACGTAATAACTGATTAAATACATATAATACATTGCCGGTCCTATAACTTAGTAAATACATGTGATACATTACCCACGTAATAACTGATTAAATACATGTGATACATTACCCACGTAATAACTTATTAAATACATGTGATACATTAGCCACGTAATAACTGATTAAATACATGTGATACATTGCCGGTCTTATAGCTTATTAAATACATGTGATACATTAGCCACGTAATAACTGTTTAAATACATGTGATACATTGCCGGTCTTATAACTTATTAAATACATGTGATACATTACCCACGTAATAACTGATTAAATACATGTGATACATTGTCCACGTAATAACTGATTGAATACATGTGATACATTGCTGGTCTTATAACTTATTAAATACATGTGATACATTACCCACGTAATAACTGATTAAATACATGTGATACATTACCCACGTAATAACTGATTAAATACATATAATACATTGCCGGTCTTATAACTTATTAAATACATGTGATACCTTACCCACGCAATAACTGATTAAATACATCTGATACATTGCCGGTTTTATAACTTATTAAATACATGTGATACATTACCCACGTAATAACTGATTAAATACATGTGATACATTGCCAGTTTTATAACTTATTAAATACATGTGATACATTACCCACGTAATAACTGATTAAATACATGTGATACATTGCCGGTTTTATAACTTATTAAATACATGTGATACATTGCCAACGTAATAACTGATTAAATACATATAATACATTGCCGGTCTTATAACTTATTAAATACATGTGATACATTGCCGGTTTTATAACTTATTAAATACATGTGATACATTACCCACGTAATAACTAATTAAATACATATACTACATTGCTGGTCTTATAACTTATTAAATACATGTGATACATTACCCACGTAATAACTGATTAAATACATATAATACATTGCCGGTCTTATAACTCATTAAATACATGTGACACATTACCCACGTGATAACTGATTAAATACATATAATGCATTGCCAGTCTTATAACTTATTAAATACATGTGATACATTACCCACGTAATAACTGATTAAATACATGTGATTTTTTGTGGTGAGATTATTTACACATATCCCAAATGTTTGCTCAGTGAAATGGGATGGAAGGTTATATATTATGACTGACATGGATCCTAATATTGGGGGAACATGACATATAATTTAGTAAGTTTCCAGGGTAATGTAATATCCCATAATGCATTGTGCATATGCATGTTCAGTGGTGCAAAATCTGAATTCGGTTCAAGCTGCCTTAATGGGAAATGATTCAGACGCCATCTTTGATCGTGCAGACGACACGAATCAGGAAAATTCATCGTAATGAACGTGCTTCATGTTTGTATACTTTTTTGTCAGGATTATATCTAATCATGGATTATGTTATAAACCATTCGAGTGATCAACATGAATGGTTTATTGAAAGCCGTAAAAACAAAACGAATAAATATGCAGACTATTATATGTGGTATGACGCCAAACCGGAATGTGTTGATGACGGAAATCAACCAGAAGACTGTCCACCTAGCAACTGGGTAAGGATATGTTTTATATTGTCCACGTAATAACTGATTAAATACATGTGATACATTGTCCACGTAATAACTGATTAAATACATGTGATACATTGTCCACGTAATAACTGATTAAATACATGTGATACATTGTCACGTAATAACTGATTAAATACATGTGATACATTGTCCACGTAATAACTGATTAAATACATGTGATACATTGTCCACATAATAACTGATTAAATACATGTGATACATTGCTGGTCGTATAACTTATTAAATACATGTGATACATTTCCCATGTAATAACTGATTAAATACTTGTAATACACTGTCCACTTACTAACTGATTAAATACATATAATGCATTGCCCACGTAATAACTGATTAAATACATGTAATACATTGCTCACGTAATAACTGGTTAGATATATGTCCATTTACTAACTAATTAAATACATAATAACTAATTAAATACATATAATACATTGTCCACATAATAACTAATTAAATACTTGTAATACATTGTCCACATAAAAACTAATTAAATACATGTGATACATTGTCCACATAATAACTAATTAAATACTGGTAATACATTGTCCACATAAAAACTAATTAAATACTTGTAATACATTGTCCATCAAATAACTACTTAAATACTTGTAATACATTGTCCATCAAATAACTACTTAAATACTTGTAATACATTGTTCATCAAATAACTGGATACATGTCAGATTTGTTGATGTATAAACTAAAACTATTATTCATTCAAAGGTCAGCGTGTTCGGTGGATCAATGTGGGAATGGGAGGAAAATCGACAACAGTTCTACCTACATCAGTTTTTAAAAGAGCAACCTGACTTGAATTGGAGGAACCAAGAAGTTTTTGATGAAATGATGGTAAGGACAAACAGGGACAATATTACAATACTACAGACGAGATTACTCACAGTATGCACCACATTCATTGATAGTTCCAAATAAGAGTGTAATGAGCACAGTGACTAATTGGTAGTTGGTAATGCACAAGTCAAATCTCGGACATATACACATAACGTATAGTTTATTACTATACACATATAAGCCTAGTAGCGGTATGCATGGTCCGATACACTTATATAGATAAGATTGTCCACAAGATAATTCTAAAACAGCTCCGATTAGTAGATTCAAGTATTACCTTGCAACAAAAAACTCTCACTATCTTTCTGAAATATTTTGTAATAATTGATAAAACATACAATTTTACAAGTCATAGTGGACAGCTACGGTAAGGACAATCATGATAAATATTCAGGCACTACTAAAAACCATTCAATCTGTTATATGCGAGACACTGAGATATGTGACGTTTCTACCGTAGGCTGTTGTGAAGTTTTGGCTGGAAAAAGGCGTTGATGGGTTTCGTGTTGATGCTATAAAACATCTATTTGAAGTAGAAGACGTTTACC